CAATTAGAATAATTATTTTTTAAATACATAATAAAATAATTCACCCCTATTTTTATATCTTTTTTTTATTTTTATCTTTTTTTAAATCTTTTTTTTTTTTTAATTTTATTTTTTTTAAAAAATTTTATAATAAATAATAAAACTATGTTATAGTTTTAATTTTAAATTGATTTTTTCAATTGATTTTATTTTTTTTATTTTTCATTTTTTTTATTTGAACTTAATATTAATGATCACTTGATGAGTTTAAAATTTTCATTTTTTATATTTAAATAAAATCTCATGTAACTATTCAAGTGGAAAATCATTTATTTTATAATAATGGTTTTTTAAAAAACCTATTATTTTAAAATTATAAATTATATTAAACTAATCAATATACAACATAAACATTTAACAAAAAAATCTTCGCATTACGAGTTTTAATATATATTAAAATATATATTAAAATATCTTTAGATAATACAATTACTATTATTAACAATTTAAAATAAAATTTAATTATTATTTTTATTATAATGATCCTAAAATTAAAAAATTACAAATTTTTCCAATTTTATAATAATTTACATTTAAACAAATTTCAAATACTTTTCTTTATATAATACTATTGTATCAACAATCAAGTATCTTAAAAATAATACTATTAACATGTAAATGTAGATTTAAAAATTAAATTTTTGTTTTATGTGAGTGTGGGTTTATTTTAATGTGGTGAGTGGGTGGGGTTTTTTTTGAATGTATATTGTTTATGTAATATGAAATGGTGGGAGTGGGACATTGTGTGTTATTGTATATTTGAAATTTTTTAATATGGATAGTAATAGATATAAAGTAAGTAAATTAAATTATTCTTTCAAAACACAAATTATTTTTACCACATTACACCAAACACAAAACAAATTTTCTTTAATATCTTTAAACACTCAAAAAATTAATAACTAAATAAGAGTAATTTTATTAAATTTTAATGTGGTTAGGGTGAAAAATGAAGACAAGGGGTTATAATTATAATAATATTATAATAAATTATACAATCAATTAACTATTTAATACAAAGTATGTAATTTATATATTACAATTACTTATTTTATATTGAGACATATTTCAATTTATTATGAGAGAAAGTAAAGATCTTGCTTAAAAATTAAAAAAAGGAAATAAAAAAATTTTACTTGTATGTCTCCCACATAGTGATATATATATTTCCATTACCACAAATGTTAACAATTTAGTGAACAGAAATAATATGAATTTTTTTAAATCATTTTTTTTTTTTTTTTTTTTTTTTTTTTTTTTCCCAAAAAAAAATAAATTTATAATTTTTTTTAAAATTTATTTCATTTTTAATTTTATCTATAGTAATAAATAGTAATAAATAATAACAATTTAAATAGTTTTCCTAAAATAATTTTTAATTTATTTTATTTTGTTAATGGGATTAAAAAAAAAATAATCTTTATTAGTATATTTTTGTTTTTATTTATATAGCTATATTTTCATATATATAATACATATAAAATTATTACGAAAAGATAATAATATTAAATATATATGTATACGAACTTTTTTTAATAATAGTAATAGTAAAATTTTTTTTTTTTTTTTTTGTTTTAAATAAAAAATAATTTTAAATAAACAATAGTTGTAAATTAATATATAATAAAATAATAATATAAAATTTTAATAGTAATATTTTAAATAATTTTACCACAATAAATAAATAAAATCAAAACCACAATAAATAAAAAAATTATAAAGTGGGTCCGAATACCAATATTCATAAATAAATATAAAAATAACAATGAAAACAATAAAAGAACTCAAAAATAAAATTTTATTTGATAAATCAAACAATATAAATAAATCTTGTACTAGTGACAGTAAAAGTAGCTACGGGAGCGGAAAAATAAACAACTATGATATCAATAATATAAACTCATTAAATAATAATATAGATAGTTCATCCTCTTCATCCTCTTCATCATCTTCATCATCATCCAGCAATTCATCAAATTTTGTAAATAATATAAATAATTTAATTTTATCAAATTGCTACACATATACGAGCACATTAGAAAACATTAACTGGAACTCTGTAATAAATATTGAAACTTTAGATACTGGTAACTCAAATATATTTTTATTGGTTTCATTTTTAGATGAAGTTCAAAGTCAAATCAATCAAATATTAATAAAATCATCCCCATGTATGTTTCAAGAAATTTATACTTCAGTTGTTGAAGATATGTTAAAGTATCCAATACCAGAAATGAAGTTAATACAATTTTCCAGTAATGAATTTACTGAAATGTCAAATTCATTATTAAGCTTTTCTCAAAACGATGAAGAATTATATCAATTCATTCAACAAGAATTAGATAAATCTTTTATATTGGCCTTAGAATATAAACCAAATGGAAAAAGATTTAACGAATTAAACCACAAAGAATATTTCTCCGGAAGCAAAGGTGAAAAGAAATTAAAACAACTTGGTAAAGTCATTGCTTTTGAAATATTTTGTAACAATTTTTGCCGCTCAGCAACCCCATGGGATGAAAATACTTTTTTTTCAAATTTAATATTCTACAGTTCCCCAAATAAAAATGGATGGTATTTCTCAATGATTCATCCAAATATTAACTACCTTAGTAACAGTTTATTTACCATTGGCTACAGAGATCAAATCAACAAATTAAAGTTACTTTTGTTCTCTATTTTCCAAAACCCAAATTCCGAAACTGAACAAATCAAACAAATGAAAGATCACTTTATCAACAAATTAAGAATCAAGCTACCAAGTTCCTTCTATATATCAATTCAAAAAGGTATTGCAGCTGGAATAAAGAAAATTGTCAGCCAAATTACCGATCAAAAGTTAAAATCAACAAAAGAAAAAATTAAAATTATTGTTAAAGTCGATAGTTCAAATAACTCTTGGAAAAAAGGTTTCGATTCATTATATAACCCCTTTATACTAGAGATTCTAAATGAATTTGTTTACGAATTTACAAATTATATTGAAAAAAAATATTAAAATATAAAATAAAATAATAAAATAAAATAATAATATTTATTATTTCCGATAATATAATAATTTTAGTATTCATAAAATAAAATTATTATTTAAACTAAAAAAAAAAAAAAAGACTATATTTTTATTTAATTTTTTTCTTTCATCTTAATTGAAGAGTTCATAAGTAATTTAATTGAATATTTATATTTTTTATATAAAATAATACTAGTTATTAATATAACTGCAAAACCACCAACTGGAACTGCGATTACAACAGGTAAAAACCAATTTGATTTGGAGTCACATTCTGATTTATAGTTTGGTGATACTAAAAGTGAAAAGTCTAAAAAATAAGAAATTATTAATAAATAATTAATAAAACATTTAAAATAATGATATGATTAATTACCTGGATCAATTAAACATTCGAGACAATTTGGTAAATTTAAACCCATAACAATATTTGTTGAATTTGATAATTCTTTAACCACTTCTGTTGACATATAAGTTACTCTATTATCTGAAACAACTTTGTTAATAAATCTACCATTCATTTGCTTATTATTTTTTTTTAAACTAATATAGTTTAATGTTTGATTTGGATCTACATTTGAAACATCAGACTCTGATTTAACTTGATTACATTCACCTGACCCAGATTCTACAGTTTCAGAGAGGATTCTTAGTTGCAATGAATTTAATGAACTTGTATATTGATAATTTGAAATATTTACAGCAAGCTTGATGCCACCTTGATCTATTGAAAATTTAATACCTGCAAATTCAAAATCTTTTGACCCAGTTTTTACTTCCTCGACCGTATAAGTAATAATACATTTTGAGTCTGTTAAATTTTGGGTGAATGTGTATAGATTCTTTTCTCTATTTACCGTTACATTCCATTGTTTCTTTAAATCAAAGGTTTTAATTTCCTTTCCGGTTATATCAAACTCTACTAATGATATGATTGAGATTTCATAATTGGTGTCTTGATTGGTAATAACTGTTGTACCACCTTGACCTACTGTTGTTGTTGAGCCTGGGACATTACTACCTCCTCCGCTAGTGCTTCCAGTATTATTGGTTTGTTTAAGTAGTGAGCAATCGTAACCTGACCATTGGTTAAAACAATTACATATACCTGTAGATGAATCACATACTCCATTTCTAGATGATGTGCAATTATTTGGACACTCGTGGACTTGGATAATATATTGGAATTTGTTTTTTGAAAATAAAACTATACCATTTTGGGTTATATTTAAATCTTTGGTACCACTTCCTGCACCCAAAACACATTGGATAGTAGTTTCGTTTGCATAAGGTTTTTCGCAATCTAATGATCCAATTTTAACTGTTAATTTTTCATGTTGTGTGCTAAACCAACCATGAATAGTTATATTACCACCTAAAGTTGTGCAAGGTTCAATAGAGCTTACAGAATGAACTGGTATTAAACAATAAGGACCGGTCCAATTGGGTGGGCAAACACATGTGCCAAATTTATAATCACAATGACCTGAATTACACGAACCATCACAATCAGTTCCTTGTTTACAATCTTTGTCATATGTGATTAGATTACATTTACATTCTCCATTTGAATAGCAAATACCATTTTGGCTACATTGATTTGGACAAGGAATAACCTGAACAGTTAATGGCCCAGTTGAACTAAAACTTGTGGTAAATTGGAGATAGAAAATACTTTTATCAGGTTTGGTTATAGTAATATTTGTTATTAAACCTGATAAGTCTTTGGTTTTACCATCAAAAGCAGGGTCAGATATCGTACATACCAATGTCGAAAAGGTGGTAGATGAAACATCGCAGTCATAATTGTCAACAACGACTTTAGTAGTTAATATATCATATGTAAAATCGGAACCTTTGAAAATAATAGTTGAGTTGGCAGAAAAACTTGTATATTCAGTTACTATAAATTGAATTGGGGTTGCTCTAAGAGTAAACTCTAATTCTGGAATTTCAAATTTAATTTTGAATAAAGTGTATATGTCTTTATATTTTGAGAAATCACTTGATAAACGGGTGGAGGCTAAATCTAAACTCCATTGTATTTGTGGGTTTGTAGTAATTCTTGATGGATCAAATCCCAAATTTTGACCCTCCATAAAAACTCTATTAGTGTTACCATCTATTCTTAATCGTGGAATAACTTTACCAAAACAAGACTTTTGAATGGAGGTCATATCTACATTAGTAAATCTATTATTATTGAATCTATTTCTAAAAGTTTCATCCTTCATATAACAGAGAAAACAATCTGGTATTTCACTTTATCATTAAAAAAATATTTAGTATTGTATAATAAATAAAAATTAATAATAACTATGATAATAAACTTACCCATCTAATGAGTTATCCATGATTATTAATTTATTGATTTTACAATAAGATTGATCCAATGAACCAGTTAGCTTGTTATTTCTTAAATCTAATGAGTAAATACCATTTGTCTTATCATTTGGATATACCGGCAAAACCTGGTCAGCGATTTGATTAAAACTAATATCTACAGTGGGAACATTGATCAAAAGATTATAGGCGTGTATCAAAGCACCAAAGCTAGAGTTTGTCATCTTAAACATTGAAAGACTTGATGGTACTGAAGAGAATTGAAATTGCTGATGTATAAATGAAAGTTCTGAAAGAATTTCAATAGTTTGTAAATTTGGATAAAGATTTGCCAAATCAATTTTATCGGTAAGTTCTGAAAAACAAAGTTGAAACTTTAAATTTCTGACACTCATTATAGCTCCATTGTCCAGTATCTTTGGACTAACACAAGTATTAATATCATTAGATTTTATTTCTCTAACAAAATAAAAAAAAAAAAAGTTAATAAATTTTTTAAATTAAAATTTTTTTTTTAAATTTAATATTTACATTCTACTTTTTATATCTGAATATCCTTTATAATTTTCTATAGAATCTGAATCAAAACCATTTTGTAGGTCAACTGCCATAGTATCTACATTTGATATTAATTTTAGGTTTGGTAAATTTTTCGAAAATACTGATCTAAAAATAAAATATTTTTTTTTAAAATTAATATTTATTTTATTTTAAAACTATAAAGTTTTCATATGTAAATAACTTACATTTCTCTTTGATAAGATGTTTGTATTGTAGGATCTACAAAATTAACAGTTTGATCTCCCCCTGTATAATCTAAAAGCTCTCTATAAAATAAAATGATTAAAATATGAAATAAATAATGGCTATAAAAGATATAGTTCTATATAACTTACAGTTTTCTAACATTTCTAAAGGTATCAAGCGATATTTTATCCCCATGATATATTTGTTCAGCCTTAATAGACAAATTAGAGATGTTGGTTGCTAACTCGTCCGTGGGAATTAAATAAGTCTGTGGATTAATTAAAAATAAAGAAAAGTTCATTGGGAATTGACTATCTCTTGATAAAAATTCATCAGAAAGGTAAGCTGATGTTAAAGTTCTTTACATTATTGTTATATTTGAAATAAAATTAAATTAAATAAAAATAAAAATATTTGTTAATATAACATTTAATATTACCTGATACTAAACGCTATACAATGGTTAACTTACAATTTTTTTAAGCTACTAAAACATGAAACCTGGTTTGTTATATGAGTTTTTGATAATTGAGTAATAAATAATTCTGTAATTTGGCTATTGTCACAAGCTACCTGTGGTTTTATTTTACATATTGATGTATCATCTACTACATTTGAAAGTAATTGTGTTTGACCAATAACTTCAAAAAAATCTTTAAAGCATTTTAATTGTGAGGCATTATATATCTCGGTTACAAACAATATAAAAAAAACAAAAAAAATAAAAAAAAATTTCATTTTTTGAAATAAATTCGAAATTGTAATTTTTTTTTTTATAAAAATAAATCAAATAAATTAAAATATCGTGTAGAGAATACAAAAAATAAATAAATAAAAAACTATTATATGATCATATAATAATAAAATTAAAATAACAAAACCAAAACTATTTTATTGAGTCAAATAATTATTTTTTTTTTCATTTTTTTTTTGGCCATTATAATGATGGTATTAGTTATTTTTTTAATAACCACGTAAAATTGCCCAAAAATCTTTAAAAATCTTATAAAATATCCAGCAACAAAAAAAAAATACCATAATATTTTCCATTTATTTTGTTGTTTAATTTTTTTTGATATTTTTTTTAAAAATAAAATAATAAGTAATAATATTCCATAATAAAAATTTTATGAAGATCTTTTTTCGAGAGCTTGCACAAACCTTCCATCAGAAAAAAAAAATTAAAAAAAAAAAAATAGATATTTAAAATAAAAAAAAATTATTTTTCGAGATATTTACTATTTTTATTTTTTTATTTTTTTTTCTATATTATTTTGTTATTATATGTAAATTGATTATTTTTTATTCTATTATTTTAATGTTTTTCATTAAAATGTTTGTTAATTTTATTCTTTAAATCGTCACAAGTTACTTTTGCATCACCAAATAACATTGAAGTTGTTGGTTTATAGAAAATTGGATTGGCAATATCAGCATAACCTGGTTGTAATGAACGTTTGAGAACTATACAATGTTTTGCTTTCCAAACTTCAATAACTGGCATACCAGCAATAATTGAATTTGGATCTTCGACTGCAGCACTATTGACAGTATCGTTTGCACCAATGACAATAACAAGATCGACATCTTTAATTTCTGGGTTTATTTCGTCCATTTCGAATACGATATCGTATGGTACTTTAGCTTCACTGAGACAAATATTTAAATGGCCTGGAAGACGACCAGCTACTGGATGAATAGCAAAACGAACATTATAACCATTTTTAATGAGAGTATCAGTGAGTTCGGCGACTGGATATTGAGATTTGCTAACGACCATACCATAACCTGGAACAATGAGAATATTTTTAGCGTTTAATACCATTTCGGTGGCTTGTTCAGAGTTTATTTCGGTATGGGTACCAGTGATTTTTAATGCTTCACCTTTACCCATTGAACTTGTTCCAACACCACCAAAAACGACAGATGGTAAGCTTCTATTCATAGCTTTGCACATAATGTATGATAAAATACCACCACTACTGCCAACGATGGCACCAACAATAGTTAAGAGTGGTGAATTTAACATAAAACCTTCGGCAACTAAAGCCCAACCTGAATAACTGTTTAAAACTGTAACGACTACAGGCATATCAGCACCACCAATAGCAGCAGTTAAAAGATGACCTTGAATGAATGAGAGAATAGTTGTACCTGCAATGCATGCTAAACCTAAAGCTGGACTTGATGTGGTTAAAAAGGTTGCAAAAGTTGCTGCATTTGCTAGAGCTAAACCACCATTGATTAAGTTACGATTTGGTAAAAGTAATGGTTTTGATGGTACTTTGTATTTACCAATGCTACCTTGTAATTTGGCATATGCTACTAATGAACCTGTGAATGTAATACCACCAATAAGTGCACCTAAATAAACCGAACTCTTATGAACGGTATCTAAAAGACCAAATGTATTGTAATCTGCTAATAAAGAAGAGGCTGATGCTAAAACTGCGGCTAAACCTACAAAACTGTGGAAAAGTGCTGTTAATTGTGGGAGTTCAGTGAAATTAATTTTCTTTGAAATTAAAAAACCAATACCACCACCCAATAAACCTACACCAGCAATTTGAGTTAAAAGTGCAGTTGAAGCACCCAAGCTTGCAATGGTTGCTGTTAAACCAATACCAATACCACTAATACCAAGAATATTACCCAATCTCGAGGATTTTGGATTTGAAAGACCTCCAATCGAGAGAATACAAAGAACTGATGATGCTATATAGGCTAATTGTTGAAGTGCTGGGGCAGAGGCACTATAGGAAACGAGATAGGCAGCCAAGAAACCCAAAGATGGGAGACCATATAAATATTCGTATGTTGGTTTATCAGTTGGTAATTTAAACATATCCAACATTCTTTTAGTGATTGTAAAACCACCAGCAATATTAATACTTGCCATAAATACTGCAGCTGCTGCTAAAAATTGACCACCTGTTGATGGCAAAGTATCGCCACCCATCAAGTGAAGACCTGCAACGGCAACAATACCAGAGATTGCATTAGTAATTGACATTAATGGTGAATGAAGAGCTGGTGTTACACCCCAAACTACCTTGTAACCGATAATAGTGGCTAAAGAGAATGTGGTTAAATTAACCATAATATCAGCAGGCATACCCAGAGACATTGCGGCAGCGGTCATCATTGCTGCAGTAGCAATACCTGCAGTTTTTAAAGTTGATGCAAAAAGACTATCCTCTTTTTTTAATAGTGCAGTTGCACCTTCTTTAGTAGATGGAGTTGCTGAAGGGCTTGGTACAGCTGGTGTTGGTGGTGGAACAACTGCTTTTTTTGGAGCTGGCCATATTAAAGTTCCTTTATATAATACAGTTGAGCCTCTATGAACTTCATCATTGAAATCTAATTTAAATTCTTTATCATCACCTAAGGCTAAAAGGAATTTGGTAATGTTATTTGAATAAAGTGTACTTGATTGGGTAGCCATTCTTGATGGTAAATCTGTAAAACCAATTATATTAACACCATTATGATTATAAACTTCACCTGGACGTGTTAATTCGCAATTACCACCAGTCTCTGCAGCTAAATCAACAACAACTGAACCTGGTTTCATAACTTCAACCATTTGTTTGGTGATTAATTTTGGTGCTGGTTGACCTGGAATAAGTGCAGTTGTAATAACAATATCTACTTCTCTGCATTGTTTTTCGAATAATGCCATTTCAGCGTCACTATAAAAAACAATAAATTTAAATTAATAAATTATTTTTAATATATTGCTTTTAATTTTATATATAATACTTACATAAATTCTTTTGACATTGTTTTGGCATAACCTCCAGAACCCTCACCAGATTCTTTAACGTGAACCTCTAAGAATTCACCACCCATACTTTTAACTTGATCTTTAGCAGCGGCTCTAGTATCGAAAGCTCTAACAATAGCACCCATATTTTTAGCAGTACCAACAGCGGAAAGACCAGCAACACCTGCACCAATAACTAAAACTTTAGCAGGTGGAATTCTACCAGCAGCAGTTATTTGACCAGTGAAAAAACGACCAAAATAATTTGAGGCTTCGATTACAGCTTTGTAACCAGCAATGTTTGCCATTGAAGAAAGAGCATCAAAGACTTGGGCTCTACTGATACGTGGAATACAATCTACAGCAATAGCTGTAGCTTTCTTTTGGGAAAGTAACTTTATAGTTTCTTGATTTTGTGCTGGAGCTAGGAAACTAATAACGGTGGCACCTTCTTTCATCATATCGACCTCGTGTTTACCCAAATTGATGTTTTGTTGAAGACCTCTAACTTTTAATAGAATATCGGATTTCTTGTAAAGTTCAGTAGCGGTAGTGATCTTTGCGCCAGCTGCAATATATTGTTGGTCTTGGAATTTAGAACCCTTACCAGCGCCCTCTTCAACCAATACTTTATATCCTTTTTTGACGAGTAATGCAACATTCTCTGGAGTCATCGAAACTCTTTTTTCACTTTGATAAATTTCAGTTGGTACACCAATAACCAACTCATTAAATGGAATACCCTTGATATCTTTACTTAGTTCTAAGGCAATATCATTATTACTACCAGAAACTGTACCAGCTATATTTGAAGATGTTGAATCTTTTAAAGTACTATAAAATAATTTATTTGATGTTGAAATATTTCTTTTAATTTCAACTAAAATTTTTTAAATTAAAAAAAAAAATCAATAAATTAATAAATTAATAGTTTTAAAGAAATATATAATTAAAATAAATTACTTACTAATTTTTTCACCAATGGTTGTTTTAGATTGTAATGTTGAATTTATTAAATCATTTTTTAGATTGTTGTTTTTGTTAATTGGAATGGTTTTTCTCGAAACAGTTGAAATTGGTTGGTTATTTGATGAACTAACAAAATTTGAATATTTAAAATCTTTTAATATTGATTTATTAGATTTAAAAATATTTACAGTTTTTTTGCTAATTGATGATAATAAATTATTCATCTTTTATTTAATTTTCCTTAAAAAGAAAATAAATTTTGTGTTTGTGATTTTAAAAAAAAAAAAAAAAAAAAAAAAAAAAATAATATACAATCAAAAAAAAAAAAAAAAATATAATATACAAGTTTAAAAAAAAAAAAAAAAAAGTTATAAAAATATACAGATAATAATTGTATAATATATAAAATATACAATTGGTAAATGTGGTGTGATGATTGTGATTTATTGAAAATGAATTTTTTTTTTTTTCCTGTGATGGAGCTCCTTTTATTAAATGTTTTTTTTTTTTCTTTAAAAATTAAATTTAATTTAAAAATTTGTAAGTTAACAAAAAATTTGGGTTTAGATATTTATTTTTTATTATTATAAAATTAATTTAATTTTTAATATTTTTTTTTATTTTTTTATATAAATTATTATTATTTATTTTATAAAATTTATATTTTTTTATTATTATTTTAATAAAATGAAGAAACTAAAAAAAATAAAAAATTTTATATTATATTATTTGTTGTAACATTATTTTGCCATTTTTGCACACCTATTGTTTTTAACACTGTTTTCTATATATTATTACTATTGGCACTGAATAACCTATTTATTTACACGATAGGATAGGATTAACGGTCATCATTAGAATTTTATATTTATTATTTGCTATTTGTTTATTATTTATTATTTATGTAAAAGTTGATAATTGTTTTCTAAATATATATATATATATTATTATTATTATTATATGATTGTATGTATATATGTATGTGTATGATTTTAGTTTTCTTCATTTTCCCACTCTTCTGATAATATTGCAACTAAATCTGGCAAAGGTACTCTTTTTGAAAATGCTCCATTCTTATTTAAAAACTCTTCTGTTATTGTAACTGCATCAACTGATTTATATTTATTTGAAGCATTGGTTGGATTGGTCGAAATTGATTCTCTCCATTGTTTATTTATTCTTTTCCAATTTTCATAACCTAAAAAAATGATAATGTATTAGACTACAATAGCGCAATAACAGCGATACAAAAAACTAATTGTTTACATACCAATATTAACCCACTCTTTATTTTCATTATCAATATTATTATTATTACTATTGGTATTGTTATTATTTGTATTGTTATTTTCCGACATTATTTATATTAATATTTTTACTTTTTAATGTTAGATAGATGTATATTTGTTGAAACTGGTAAAACCTAAAAAAACAAGATACTAAAATTTTGAGATGTGTGTTTGAAAGGTTAATAAAATGAAAAAAAAAAAAAAAATTAAAAAAAAAGAAATAAAAAAAAAATATTTTTAAAAATTAAAAAAAATTATAAAAAAAAATGACAAATTTATAAAAAAAAAAAAAAAAAGAAAAAAAAAATTTTGTTTCTTTTTTTATTTTATTAATTCTAATCTCATTTCCTATTATCGTATAAACAACAAATATCATAAATTTATGTACAATTATATTCCATCTATTTATATTTTATAAATAAATCAACCATTTTAAATAAAATATGGATAGTGTTATAGCCTTGGATACCATGCCAATATTGGAACCCATTTTAGAACAAAACCAAATAGAAACAACCAATCAAAAAGTTGATTACAATGGTCTTTCCGAACAATTTAAATCACCAAAGCCTAACTCCTATAAAGCTATATTTGTATCATGCTGGGATCATATAGATCCATTTGAAATATATCTTTCATATGACCAACCAACCTTACAAAAACAGTATGTATTTAAATAATAACTCATAAACTATTATTTTTAGTAAAGTTACTTTTACTAACTATTGTTTTTTGGTTTTTTAAAGATTAGAAGTCCTCTTTGGAGTACCGGGAACAAGAAGAGAATATATCGGTAAACATGATCCCTCATTCTTTTTTTTTCCGTTATTCACAATCATGGACTCATTGGACGGATCTCCACCAAAGGAGGGATCAATTAAATATAAAGACTTACAATTATTACCATTGAACATCCGTGCAAACTCATTAAAAGGAAAACAAAAACTTAAGGGTGATGCAATTTTTGTAAATGTAGATTTAGAAGGAAGAGAAAGAGATGTTTCAATGGAACATTATAAAAAGATATGGGAGAGTTTAGTACCATTCCAAAAAGTTTTCGATTTTGAAAGCAACTTAGTCTCAAGAAAAGATTTAATTGGAACCATTTTATACAAATCAAATTTTCAATTTAAAATAGAAGATGAGGTAATATTTTTTAAAAAAAAAAAAAAAAAAAAAAAAAAAAAAAAAAAAAAAAAAACTAATTTTTTTACATTGTTACTTTAATTTTAGGATGATTTTATTAAAACAAAAAATCCAACAGCAATTATTAATGAATATAAAGCAATTGACACTGGAAATACTATCATCAGCTCTACTTTTGGTGGTTATTCAAAAAATCATTATTCAACATGTTTAATTAATAACCATTTGATTTATTCAAAGTTATTTGTAAAGAAGGATCAATCACTTCGTAGCTGTCATTATAGAGCCCTTAGATATTTACAGACATTACAATCAGTTCATCTTGGCCATTTAGACAAAGAAGATAAACAAGTAAATGAAATTTTAAATGAAAGTTATTATACTCAAGAAATTGACAATTTCATCAATGGGGTTCTAGAAAATGATGACAACTATAACAAAAATAAAAAAGCAGAAATTGAGAATTCCAAAAAGGAGAAAAAATTAAGTGTTTATGAAAAAGCATTATTGGAATTGGGTGAAGATATAGAGTGCGAAAATAAAATTTTTGGTGTTCCAATCAAGAGTGACCATAGAATATCAATTTTCAAAACCAAATCAATTCAAATTCACTACATCAAAGAAGTCTTTGACTCTGATAACAAGCCAGATTTAGGTACCGAGGTCTCATTAGATTTTGTGTATTATTTAGAAGATGGTAAAGTTGTAGATAAAAAAACAGATAAATTTATTTATGGAGATGATGACGCAATCATCGATGGTTTACACTTTGTTATTTCCCATATGAAATACAATGAAATCGTAATAGCAACCATTCCACCAGAATTTGCCTATGGTGAGTTTGGTATTTGTTCAACAGACAAATATATAGTACCTCCAAATGCAACCATTGCCGTCTTAGTAGAGCTATCTGAAAACCAACGTATAAAACCAACACCAGTGCAATTAGTAATGATGCCAATGCAACAAAAGATTAACGCCATCAAGAAGAATAATGAATTGGGTAAAGAAAACTTTAAAAAAGGTCTTTTTTTGAAATCGTTCAGAAACTATAAGGTTTCAAAAGGATATTGCAGCAAAAAGTATTTAGGTAAATGTGAATCTGATGAAATGTTTGAAGAGTTTTTAGGATTAGCCGCCCAAACTCTCACAAACGTTGTACTTTGCTATCAAAGAATGCCACATAAGGAAAAAGAAATTACTCAAGATAAAATTCTCGACCGTGTTTTAAAATATTGTAATGCCTCATTAGATTACACCGAAACCTCAAAAGCCTATAGAATTAGATCCAATTGCTTTAAAGAATTAAGACAATATCAACAATCATTAGATGACTTGGTTGCCGCTAAAGAAATTGACACAATCAACAATAGCTTTGATGCTTTTTCAGAGAAAAAGTATGAAGCAGAAATTCAAAAACTTAATACATTAGCTCTCAACTATTCTAAAAAAGAAAAGCAACAATTTGAAAATTATTTTAATAACCCAAACAATTAAAATAAAGATAATGATCAATATATCATATATAGTAATATGTTATATACAATGTTAAATTAATAAATTAATAAATAAATAAATAATTAAATAAATTTTTTAAAATTTGTAAATTTATTACAATATTTCAGTATTATCTTTTATTTATTAAATAATTGGTCATTGAAAAATTTATGTTGTAATTGCGGAGTTAGTTGTTGGGGTTGAAACTGTAACTGAAACTGTTGGCTTTGAAATGAATCATTCAACATTTCTTGTAGATTATTATTATTATTATTATTATTATTAATATTATTATTATTAATATTATTATTATTTAATTGATTATAAATATTATTATTTAAAACTGAATATTTTTGATTTTGATTAAAACCATAATTAAATGGCAGAAATTGAGGATAATTTTTATATAAATAATTAAATACTTTAGTGTGACCAAAATCTAAAGATGTGTTTATAATACTCTGTAAAACTAATAAGTAAAACTTTGATTCGACAGTCTCTTTTAAAAAAAAGGTTTGAATAATTTTTTCAATAATATCAATATTTCCATTTTCACCTACTTTTTGTAACCAAATATCAGATTCATAAAAGAAGTCAACGATTGATATACTCTTTGATTCCTGTGAAGGTGGTGATGAGAATTGACTGGGATGGATTAATTGATTATTGCCAAATTCTGAAAATAACTGATTATGATTTCCTGTATAATATAATAGTAATTTGTACTCTTGAAATGATAAATGGCAACGACCGCTACTAAAATCTTGATGCCTTGTTTCTAATACCCATTTAAAAAATTCGATATGAGCTTCAGTTAAATTGTTTCTACAGTGGTTGTGAGACGAATCGAATGGATAGTACACTAAATCTTGATAGTTTTCGATAATATATTTTAAATTTTCAATGTCTTTTGGTGTCATTTTCTTTTCAAAGTTATTTATAAATGATAGGGACCCAGGTACTAAATTATATCTATCTTGTTTTGATACTACGTATCTCGTACACTCGAGATATTGACTGAACCTTTGATCATCTAGCTGCCAAGAGATATACATTATAGGAAATGGTATTTTGTTACTTGTTTTACTTTGGACTATTTTTTCATATCTTTCTAATAAATCGATTCTTCCCTTTAAAAACCATGATTTTAATTCGCAATTAATTGTACAATCAAAATATTGACATATAAACTCTAATACTGGTAAACTTTGAACATATTGATAAATATTTGATAATTTACTTTCATTAAAATATTGCGTATAAAATATATTTAATTCTTTATCTTTATATTCTGATAAATTTATAAAGCATTCAAAATAACTATTATTATTATTGTTGTTGTTGTTGTCATTATCAATTTTTTGTTTCTTTTTAGGATGTTCACTTGAGGTTTCTTCTTGATCTTGATCTTGCTTTTGTTGATTGTTTCTATTTAATCTTTTAAATGATTTCTTTAATAAATTAAATGCTAATTTTACCAATTCTAAATCGTCATATGATACTACTAGACTTAGGAAGAATAATGGATGGAGCTTATGGGTAATGGAACAAGATTCATCATTAATATCATTTGAAATTTGTTTAATAAATTCGATTTGACGATTTCTATCTTGACAATGTTCAAATAATAAATTGATTCTTTGGTTATCAATTGATTGCTGCTCTACTACTTGATTAACCTTTGCCAACAGATCTAAGAATGGCTGTGGAATGCTGTTTTGACTATGGAACCATTTTCTTAATAATATATGACTACCATATTTAAATGCATTTGTATCAGCACTCCAAAAACTATTAATTTGATCAATATTTTGAAAGTTATCATTTCCATACTTTAACCAGTACATTGAACATTTGGTATTATTTCTTTTCTCCTTTGTTGCCAAATACATTTGAACTAATTTTTTAGCATTTTGATGATTTTCATCAATTTCTAAAATTCTTGATTTTAATTCTTCTTTTGTAAACTTCATGCTTTCTAATTCTTTTTTTGTTAATATAAAAGTTAATCGAGACTTTGAAGTTGCACTATCGTTAGAAGTAGTATTTTGATTATTGTCATTGTTTAAACCATCACTTGAGTTTTCTGAACTGATACAATTATTACAATTCATACAACCCTGCGAGCTATTATTAGAATTATCACTAAAATCGTGATTATATATGAGATTTAAAGAAACAATTGAAAGGCATGCATTTAATAACCATGATATTTTAAAATTTAATTCGAATGGACAAACATTATATAACAGGTTAAATCTTCTTTTGGTTGAATTTAAATAATTTTGCTGTTCGATATTTAATGTTGATGAAGTTGATGGAGTAGATGGTGTCGCTGTTATTGGTACTGAAACTGGTACTGAACCTGGTACTGAAACTGGTACTGATGTTGTTGATGTTGATGAAATTATTTTGTTTAAATGATCTATTGGAGATTCAAAATGTAATGTTTCAACTAAAAATATTATTAATCTATAGTATCTATTAAATTTTCTATAAGATAAAGATATTTTTTCGATTATTGTATTCTTTAATTTTTCCCAAACTTCCAATTCTATATTATTTGTAAGAGCAGTGGAATTTGATTTAATTTTATGATAAAAGGTCTCTAGAATCCATCTTGTTACTTTAAAATGTCTTGTTTCGATGGACTGGTAAAGGACTTCGATAGTGGGGACATATCCATAATATTCGCAAATTACTTGTAACGCCTTCAAATTGTATACTGCTGTTGCTATCATTGCCTTGCTGTTTGGATTCATACACAGGTGACTATTGCATCTCTTTAACAGTGTCTTGTAAAATTCTTTATTGTTTCCATGGGTGTCAGGGTCTTTATTAAAAAATTTGAATATTTTACCAAGCTTATCTTGATAAAATAAATCAAAGTCCACACCAAACACCAAATAATGATTATTTAAAATCTTGTGTTTTAGGGTTTTTTTATACCCATTTTCTATAAGCCAATCTACAGAGTGATGTAAAATTACATTACCATATTTATGCGTAAAGTCATATGATAATAAATTTAAAATATAATTAAATAAATATTTATTATGGATAATTTTCCAGAATAGTATTTCATTACTATCCATTTTTATTATTTATTATTAATTATGTAATATTATTAATTTTAATTTTAATTTAATTTTTATTTTTACAAATATTAAATTACTATTTTAAATACTATAACTATTTTAATTACTATTATTATTTTTACAAATAAGTATTATTTTACACACAAAAAAAAACTGGGATAAAATAAATTTAAAAATCTATATGTAAATTTCATCAATAGGATACCAAAAAAAAAAAATTTTAAAAAAAAATAAAAAAAATCATAAAAAAAATATTTTTTTAAAAAAATTAAAAAAAAAAAAGAAAAAATATTTTAAAAAAAATAATTGATTCTACATTTTATATTACCATAATAATTATTTAATAAATAGATTTATATATTTATTCGAATGAAAAAAAAAAAAAAAAAAAAATCTTTAAAAAAAAACTATAA